CTTCCGAGGGCGCCTGCAGCCTTGAAAACGTGGTCGATGCGACAGTGTTCTTGGTGGACATCCGGCGCGATTATGCCGCCATGAACGCCGAGTGGAACAAGATCTGGCCCGACCGCACCAAGGCGCCGTCCAGGACCTGCGTCCAGGTGGCGGCGCTGCCAAACGAGAAGATCTTGGTCGAGATCAAATGCCAAGCAGTGGTGTCGGAATGGGCAAAGAATCCGTGGGAGGAATTGTGATGGGGTTGGTTGGCGGGCAGATCCGATGATTTACGACGATGCAACATCCAAAGGGAATCCTGGGCTGTGTTGCCCTTAAAACCAAAGCCATATCAAATCTAAGATCAAGCCACTTTCCTGTTTTCGCATGCAAATGTTCTGTGCTTGTACAAATGGGGACAGAACCGGTAGGGGCGAGATCTCATTTAAACAGCAACGAAGACGAAGCTATCGTTGTTGCGGGTAGGAGCTATTGGAAAATATAAAACAGCCGTCTCTGAGTAGTTAACCGAGTAACGGACATGGGGATACTACTACGGGTGGCCACCAATCCCTGTCACCAGAAATATTGATGCCAAAGCCCATATGTTCAGGCTCCGCCACGTACACGAGAATTCGTTCTGGACACCATCCCAGCAGTCGGCAAGGCGCTAAGCTGGGTCTTCGCCAAGATCAAGGTCGCCAACAAGGACATCATCGACTTCGTGGGCTTCCTGTTTGACTGGGGGTCCATCCTCAACTACGCCGATTCCATAGTCGCCTTCTTCATGTCTAAGGGGGCTTTGGGGCTGGGGGTGGGTTAGTTGGGCGCGTGGGGGGTTGAGGGTTGGGCGGTTTGGTTGGAGCTGAGGAGACGGGGGTGGTGAAGGTGAAATGGATTGTGGGGGTGTGATGGGGAGGTAGGTAGGTATTAATCAAGGGTTGGGATACCCAGGTAAGTGGTTATGGCAATGGTTTCCTTTCTCCATGGAAGGTTGCGTCAAGCCTGTTTTATTAGCATCCTGTACAAACAATATTGCAGTAATAGTAGACATGCTGAAGTAGTCTGATCGCCGCACCTGGTAGTGACTAATCTAAGTAGGGTGGTTGGGGTGATCCGAGGGTGGTTTATTGTAGAGGCTTTTCGTGCCGCTATGTCAATATGGTACGGGTTTCTTGGTCTTCTCAAAGTTTCCACTAGCAACATTGAAGCGGCGTGAATAGGGGTTTTGAGCGACTCAGGCACGCCCTCCAGGCTCGGCCCATATCTCCTCTATCCTCTACCCCTATTCTGGGTCCAGGCCACTTGTTAGGTAGTGGAGTTGTTAAACCCCATCATCTTATCTTGTCGGAGGGGCAAGGAATGAGGAACTTTGGACGGCGGTTGCCAACGAACCCTGGTTGGTTGGCAACTTCCGTCCTTCCCAGATCCAAGGAAGTTCTCGAAGGTTTCCGTGCATTAGTTTAAACGCAGGTACTGAGTATTGAAGCGATGATACCCGATGTTGGGTTGATCAATGCTACCAAGTGCCAGTTCGTCAACGCGCCTGCCTGCTGTTCCAGGTCCCTCTCCAGATAACGATAGCGGGGGGCGGTATCGCAGATACCAGGGCCGACCCTGCAGGGTTCCTTCCATCTGGCAGGGGCGATTGAGCGCCCCGCACCAAGAAATTCAGCTCTGGGCTGAGTGAGTCTGGCGTGTCTGGGCAAACTCAATGCCGACTTCACTCCGAACTCAATCGCACCTTGCGCACCGCGGGGTTTCGTCTCTTGGCGTCGAGAAAGCCGGCCATCTCCGCCTTTTGCACGGAATACCCCAGTTTGTCGCTCGGAACCACCGAATCGGGGGAACGGAGCCGTCGAATTGAGCAAGGGACGAATACTTTAACTCGTTTCTCTACCGACGACCACCGAAAGCGCACAATCGCCGTGCTTATCTTAGTCGAGTCTTGGTCTTCGGATAGCCGCGGTTGAACCACTCAACCAAGTCCTTGATGGTGCTACGATTACGCTGCCAGGCTGCTTGGCCTGTGGGCCGCACGAGATCAGCGTGCTGCATTGCCCAGCATGGATCGTCCAAGACAAATGGGAAGGATTGTTCAAGGATTGGTCCATTGCGAAATAGGAAGGTCGTTGATTCTCTCACCGACCGGGCTTTTGCCCCCAAACCGAGACCTGCGACAGCGAGGACGGCGTAACCCCGGCGATGGTTGTTGTTCTGCTGCAGTCCATCCACTCGTCATCCACTCAGGGAGTCAGGCCATCCAAGCATGATCCATCCAGCCATCCTCTTCCCCGGACATGGGTCCGGCAGTCCCCGTTCCCATGTTCCCATGTTCGACCCTCACGTGCCGAACGAGTCGAGTCGGCCGCGACAGATTGATGCAGTAAGCAGCTCGCCCAAGAGTATGTCCTACTGCACTCCTCCCGTGGGAATGGCATGTTTTGACACATGCATTGCTTTCTTGCATCCTTGCCACCGCCGCACCTCAACCGTCGTCCGGGATTCACAGCCCTCCAGGATCTCGAGCCCTGAAATAACGGCCGGGTGCTACCCAACCTCCACCACGCCTCCCGGATCCCCAGCTTTTCTGCTCATCGCTTCCCCCGCTCGCGTCGTATCCAAATCGCACCCACCTGTCGCTGTGGGGTGCAGGTCGTTCCAAAAGATAAGCGACGCGTTCAAATACGCCTGCCCTCCCTCCCTCGTGTTCCTCCCGCCAACGAAGTGCTGCCCGGGTTTTCCACCAAGCAGTTTTCCGCCGCCACGTCAAGATGAAGAACGAGGGGTATGACGAGAAGCCCAGCGCCGACGAGTCCCAGGGCGGCTCGCAGGTGATTGATGGCGTGGTGTCTTTGGACGAAGCAACGCAGTTGGAACGCGGCCTCAAAAGTCGACACATTCAGTTCCTAGCGCTGGGTGGCGCGTGAGTCCGACCCTTTTACTCCCATCCCCAAGCTCCGGCCCGGCTCTCTAACACATGGGATAATAGTATCGGGACAGGGCTGTTTGTTGGGTCCGGTGCGATTCTGGCCAAGGTCGGCCCGGTGCCATTATGGCTCGGCTATATCTCCATGATGCTGGTGGTTTGGATCGTCATGAACACCATCGCCGAGATGACGACATACCTACCCATGAAGGGCATCACTTTGCCCTACTTCACGAACCGTTACGTCGACGACAGCCTGGCATTTGCCTCTGGGTGGAACTACTGGTACGCGTATGCGATTCTGGTCGCTGCCGAGGCCTCAGCAGGCGCCATCTTGCTCGACTATTGGGAGACGCCAGTCCATTCGGCGGTATGGATTACCATCATCCTGGTTGTCTGCCTCGCTCTCAACATTATCGCCGTCGAGGTCTTTGGTGAAGCCGAGTTTTGGTTTGCCAGCATCAAGATCATCACCATCATCGGACTGGTCATCGTAGGCATTGTCATCATGGCCGGCGGCGCCCCCGGGGTCGGCGCCATCGGGTTCACGTACTGGAACAACCCCGGCGCCTTCAAGGAATACGTCGGAACAGGTGCGACTGGTCGATTTACCGCCTACTGGACCGCCTTCGTCCGCGCCGGTTTCAGCTTCATCACCTCCCCTGAGCTCATTGGCCTCGCTGCCGGCGAGACCGTCGCCCCGCGCCGCAACATCCCCAAGGCTGCGCGCCGCTTCCTGTATCGCCTCGCCCTCTTCTATGGCGTCAGCAGCTTGATCATCGGTGCTATCGTACCCTACGATGACAAGCAACTGCTCACCGAGACGGCCGACGCCAGCGCCAGCCCCTGGGTCATCGGCATCCAACGTGCCGGCATCGGCGGCCTTAACCACGTCATCAACGCCGCCATTCTGACCTCGGCCTGGTCCGCCGGCAACGCCTTCCTCTACTCGGGCTCCCGTATCCTCTACTCGATGGCCGCCACCGGCCAAGCCCCCAAGATCTTCGCCCGCACCACCAAGCGCGGTGTCCCCTACGCCGCCGTGGTCGCCACCTGGGCCGTCGGCCTGCTCGCCTACCTCAACGTGTCCCAGAGCGGCGCCAAGGTCTTCCTCTGGTTCATGAACATCTCCACCATCTCGGGCTTCATCGGCTGGATCGTCGTCCTCGTCACCTACCTGCGCTTCCGCAAGGCCATGAGCGTCCAGGGCCTGCTGAGCACCCTGCCCTTCCGGACCATCGGCCAGCCATACGCCGCGTGGTTCACGCTGTTCATCATAACCCTCCTGACCATCACCAACGGGTTCCAGGTCTTTGCCAAGTGGGACGTGGGCGACTTCCTGGCTGCCTACATCACCATCCCCATCTTCTTGGTTCTGTATCTCGGACACAAGGCGATTTTCCGGACACCGTGGCTCAGGAATGTGCACGAAGTCGATGTCACCACGGGCAAGAAGGAGATGGATGAGTTCTGCGCCAACGACCACCCGCCGGTGCCCAAAAACTTTTTGCAGAGGGTCTGGTTCTGGCTTGCTTAGATGTTTGGGTTTTATTATTTGGACTGCAGCACGTTTGGTTATGATACCCGAAGCTGGTTAGTCTGTCCGCCTTGTAGGGCGAAGAATAGACAAAATAGATCTTGTCTGAGCCACCTCGTCTCACGTACTCATGTCATGATAATCCAGGCTGTCTTTCCGCCATACGTTTACCCCCTATTTTTGACTTAGGAGCTGCAAAAGCTAGGTTCAACATGAGGCTGGCCATCCCTAGCAATGAAAGGGTATAGTCGATTGACACTTCAGAAGAAGCCTATTAAGTTGGAGTCATCTTGTCTATCCTGAACGCCTAGCCACCTCCTTCCAGTTGGAACCAGCTGCTGTTAGCAGTAGTGCTCATAGTGTACCTAGTAGACGTCTCGCCCATCACCACCATAGCCCTCGAACAAAACGGCGAATATCGAACTTGGTAAGGTGGTTACTACTCCTCATGGCCCTTGTTTACTAGTGTTGTTGGAACATATATGCCGTTCAACCTCGCCGTCAAAAGGTTGATAGTATTGCACTTTCAACACTACTGGGTATCACGAGTTCTACGGTCGAATGGCGTAAGGGTAGCGCATTACTTTCCGGTGAAGAATATGGTAAAGGCTCTGGGTTCGAATCCCAGTTCGATCGTTGCTTTTGCTCTCCGCTGCATGACTCTCTGGGTGCTGAGGGTGGATCCGAACTTTTACCCATATTGAGTGAATTCACCAAGGGTGAGCCAACGGGGCAAGCAAGGGAGAACTGGGTGCACAGGCTGAGGAATGTGGAGCAGACCCTCCAAAGCCCCAGGGAGGCTGGAGGGTGACCTCGCTGCCGATCGTCCGCGTGCCGTACATGATCAAGGGGTGGCTATGCCGGATACGATGGAGATGGACTCGGGATGAGGAGGCTACTTCGCAAGTTCGGTAGGGAGATCTCGGGGACGTAGAGCGGCACACCCTATTCCGATCCTTTCGTTTTCACTTCGGCTTTCGGGCCGCAAGTCTTGTTCGCAAAGACATGGTGTACGTACAGAGTAGCAAGTCAGGGGACTGTTGTTTACATACTGTTGCCAACTCACAAATCCCAGGGCCCTATCCATGATGCCTCCGATAGACCTTCCAACGACTGGTGTGATATAGTTTCTGAACACAGTCTGAATACTATAGAATGATGTCGAATATGACGACGGCGGCGAAGACCCGCTCCCCGAGAACCTGTTAGCAAAGTACAACAATGAACAAGCAGCCTACAATAGCGCCAATCAACAACGTCGAGATCATAAAGCTGGTGCTTGGCTCGTCTCTATCAGAGTATATTCATGGATAAGAGGCGGTTGCCGAGGCTGTATAACTGGTCCCTAGTCAGCCCGCTGAATCTGACAAAGGTGCCTCTCAGGGGTGATTGTCCTACACATCGCCCCCAAGATATGTTTCGACAATTTAAATCTCATCCTTTAGTCCTAATCTTGAGTGTACCCTTCTTCTTCGCAGCACTCCATCCGCATCGCCCATCACCATCCAAAGACACATGGGGCCTATCATGATTTTGTGTAGATGTGTTCGCTGTGGGGCGGAGTTTGACCAGGATGTAAGGCTTGGAAGGTGTTGTTAATAGCAGCTCTTCCAAGAAGAAGACAAAACGAAAAGAAAAGAGAAAAGAAAAGAGGAAAAAGGAAAAGAAGAAAGAAAGAAATATGGATACGGTTAACCAGGTTTCAAATATCATACCTATTATGAATATATGAACAAAGACATATTCACCTAGTCCACCTGACTGTTCAGAACCAACATAATTACTAAGGTTGACCCCTGAACAACCCCCTCATACCTGGGCGGCTGGCGCGTTTGATCTGAAATCCTGGCTGGTTGAGAGTAACTATAACTAGGACGTCGCTAGGCTGTGCGACAACCAGGGGCTTTTAATCTCCTCCGTCAGTTGGATACCCCAGGTTGGTGCGAAGGAAGCAGGGTTTTCTTTTTTTCTTTTTCTAAGATTGCTTAAAGGTACATAATCTTTAGAAAAAGAAGACCATGGCTGCTTCCCCACCAACCTTCTCTTATCCTCAGACGGTAAAATATCGCTGTCACATCGTCGAGTATGGCATAGTAGTCAAAGCCAAAAAGTATGGGTGGAGCGACCACCGGAGGTCCCGGAAGGTTATGAAGCTGGACGAGCTTTGTCCGAAGTGTGAGAGGAAACTGGAAAGGAAGATGCTTCGCAACTTGCATTGGCTGAACGACCGGAATGACTTTACGATTGAATACGTTTATCTTTACCGCGATGGGGAATCGCCCATGTCCAGTCCCGAGTGGCCCTTGTATACTGAATCTGAGTCGGAATCCGTGGACGAACACCGCTCGCCCCCATGGGCAATGTGGGCAGCCCTAAAAGACGAAGAGAATGAGGCGGACGACGAGGCTGGTAATGATCATGGTGGGAATGATGATGAGAAGAAAGAGGAAGCAGAGGAACAATCACCTGAGCAGAAATTGCTTTCTGGTTTGTTGGAACTGTTAGGCGAGGACTGGGGCGAAGAGTTCTCCGAGGGAGAGGAATCACTTTCAACCGCAGAGGGGAAGGACGGAATACTTGAAGTGGAGGTACCTGCTTTGAGAACTGCTGGCATGGGGAGCTAGCACTGACTAACTCGAGGCCCTGAATCAGATGACTTTGGTTTGGGGCCCGCCGATGGTGATTAAGGAGAGACCCCATCCCAGGACGAGGCCGAGGAAAGGAGCACTCGGAACAAAGAACAATAATCCGCCCCTGGGCGCATGCAGTCGATGAAAACGGCCGGGCCATCGGGATGTCCAGGCCCGCAGGAGCTCGGAGTTGTAAGTAAAAATAACCCAGGACGACAAAAGTCCACAAAGAACTCAGTAAAACATGTTGCCGCCGTGACTACGCGCCTGATGAAACTGCTTACTGTCATCAAGTCCCGAAACAGCCTGCTGTTAGCCCGCGAACCCCGACACCATCCCACCGGTATCGAAAATAGATCTGATCTGGATGGAACCGTGGAACCGTGGAATTTGAACTTGAGCTTGAACCCAGTCATGAAGCAAGCGCTTGAAGAATGAGTGAGCATGGGCTCAGCATAATGTCTTGGTGCTAATCAGACATCAATATTCCAGACTGAATCTCTCCCTGAAACTTAGCTTGGCTGTTGGCTGTTCTTCACGACCTCAGCGCTTTTAGCAGCAAAAGCTAAGGCTCTTCTTGTTCCTCCCGTTCTCACTGCTCCAGCGCCATCTAGTCGCGCGCGTCGAGCAAAAAAAATCTCGAATGAAAAGTAGATGCTCTTTATGGATCCATTCAAGAATTCGGTTCCGTCCTGTCGGGTCCGCTAGGTGCTCAGCATGGAGCATTACTGCCCAATGCTTTTGATTTCATGCAAAAAATAGAGGCTGAGCCTGCACGAGGTTGTGGGGGGAAAGCCCCTGGAACATGGAGGTTTGCAGCCATAGCCGCCTGGCGGCCTCGGGACCGGCCGGCTGGCAGTGGCTAAGTGGGTCCCAATTGCCTGGCAGGACTTCCCAGGACGAACCGCATATTTTTGGAAGGCGGTGCAGACCGCCAGAGTGGGGCTTCCGGCTTGCGCACACTTGGGGAGAATTTCACCTCGTCTCCTGCCTTGTGGCATTGTGCAACCTGATTCGCTGGCTGTTGCCTGGAAACGGCGGCCGATAGCCCCTCCCCCACCTTTCTGCCTGTCAAGCCTGTCAAGCCTGTCCTCACTTTTCTTTGTCCGCCTGCATGCCAATGCATCGATTGAGCGGTCCAGATTGGCCTGAGATTGGTTCCCTCCCACAATTCCGCGCTGAGCCATCCGGCAACCCACCCCGCATCAACGGTCCCACCCGGACCGGACACAGACGAGTGACGTCCTCACCGTGACTCCGTCCTCTGGTCCCGCCTTTGACACCAATCTAGGACTCTAGGCAGAACACAGACAATATCTGATCATGGGCGCCCTCGATCTGACGATTATGGACAGGCCTCGTGTATATAGGGGCCATGCCCCCCTCGTCCTCAACCACCCGGGGTCATGACCATCAAGCAGCCATTACTTGACCACAACTATCGACCACTCATCAAAATCATCAACACATACTAACAATCACTTGACCACTCGCCCACCATGCCGCACTTCTCCTATGTGGCCGCCGAGTCGGGTCATCATCGTCGTCGTCACGATGAACCCCAGACACACTACCAGTGGCCCGTCACCACCACTCACCAGAGCCACCACTCCCGGCGTAAGGAGTCTCGCCGGGTAGAGGGCCCCGACTTCCGCTTCTGCGTCGAGCTCGGCCTCGTCATCCGCAGCAGGAAACACAACCACAAGACCGTCACCGGTCTCGAGGACGAGATCAGCAAACAACTCAACCGCGCCGGCATCGCCAACCACCTCGCCAGCACCCACACCGCCCCGGTCTCCTCCCGGCAATGGACCATCGCCAGCGAGCTCTGCATCCCCTCCCGCCCCAACGACCACCGCTTCGGCATGAAGCTAGTCTCCCCCTTCATGCGCTTCGCCAAGCGCCCCGAATCCTGGCAATCCGACCTCCACACCCTCATGCAAACCCTCAACACCCACTTCGAGCTCACCACCACCCACCAATGCTTCACCCACATCCACATCACCCCCTCCTCCGGCTACTGGGACCTGCACCAAGCCAAAGGCCTCGCCAAATCCGCCCTCTACTTCGAGCGCTGCCTCGACGCCCTCGTCCCGCCCTACCGCCGCAAGAGCGTCTGGGCCAAGAGCAACCGCCACAACCACTACTTCGAGGGCCTGCCCATGGCCGAGTGCTTCGACCGCATCGACGCGCAGACCACCCCCGAGGCGCTGGGTGCCCGCATGAACTGGTGCGCGGCCGACTCGCCCACGGGCGTGGCGCTGGGTGCGCGCCCCGGGGCGGATTTCCAGCATGATGCGTATCGCTGGGCGTTTGTGGGGTTGAATGAGGGGGCCGGGCTGGGGACGGTCGAGTTCCGCCAGCCGCCGGGGGCGAATACCGGGGCGGAGGTGATTGCGTGGGTGTTGTTGGTGGGGTGTCTGGCGCGGTTGAGCTGTGGGGAGGGGGTGGCGCTGGATCCGGCGCAGAAGCCGCAGTTGAAGAGTCTCGGGGAGTGGTTGGTGTATGAGGCGGAATGGTGTGGGGTGCCGCAGAAGGGGTTGTTGGGGGATTTGGTTAAGCAGGCCGTGCCGGTTACGCCGGCGCCGGGGACGTTGGCGGGGAGGGATGCGGATGCGATTACGATCGACGAGGACCAGCGGTTGAGGTGGAAGGCGGGTGATCGGGATTTGGTGCTGGAGAAGTATAGGCGGCTGTTGAAGCATGTCTGAGCTTCTTGGGAGAGGGAAGCTGACGATGGTTTACGTTTAATTATGCGGGCATGACCTTGGGATGAGATTCCCGCAAAAGGCAAACTTGGGTATGGGGCTACGGGGCATGGGTCGCCAACTGGGTTGGCGATGGCGTTACGGAAGATACCATGGGACACACAATGACATTATACGTTGACGTTTTGGTCTACATTTGTTTTTTGACGTGAAGTTGTGCCTGAGTGATATGTTGTTCATCTGAGACATGGGGATATTGACATGTGGGGGAGTGGTTGACATGGTGAGCACAGCTTGG